TCATGCAGGAAAAATAAAATGTTCAATTCATATAATCCAAATTTAATGTAGCTACCGACATAAAAAGTATTGCAAAAAATAAAAATGCTGTATATTGACAAGGTTCCGTGATATTTTCCATAGTAACTTTTCATGCGGACGTAGTATTTATACTGTTATTTGGATGTTAAGAAGCATTGATGTTTAGTTTTGTAGTTTTTACTGATTTATTTCATAATTTATCTACATATAGGTAAGTAAAAATAGTTAGTAGCATACCTAATGCATTCCTTTTTTTGTTGATTTGACTTGCTGGCTAGGTCAAAATTTTAGACGTAACAAAATTACATAATATTAAAGAACCAACCAATTATACACTGGTAGAGTATCTTTCGTGTAAAATTATAAATAACGGGGTCATTTCGTAAAAGTCTTTGCGGATGGCGAGCGCTTAAGAATGTAATCGTTTATTTCGGAAACGCCTAACGTTGATCGATGTGTTGGGTGAACTGTCCTTTCTCATTTTAGATTATTGGTAACAATTCACAAAATTTCTCTGACACTTTGAAGGTATACCTGAAACTCCTAACTTTTCGAATTTTTCTCATCTTCCAAAAGTGGACATTCATTACCTATATACGCACTAAGGCGCTAAATATCATCAACAGCTGAGGCTTTCAGGGCAATTGATGACCATTGTCTAGTCCAGCGGTCCCCAACTTTTCTTTTCTACGGAACCCTTTCTGAATCACGCTTTTTTGGCGGAACCTCATCCCGATAATAAATACGTAAAACTGATAAGAGTTCTATGTCTAACAATAAGAGGTGATTTATGCTGACTTGCCATATCTTCACATGCTTTTTCAAAAAGCCTTCACTGCAATGCTTCTGTCAATAATGACATTCAACAGCTGAACAGCAACAGTATTCCAGCTAAGGGCTTCGAAAGGTCAAATTTGAAAATATTGCGCTTACGAACATGGCGGCGTTTCAAAACTCATAGCTCCACAGCATGACGTGTCATACATACGAAAGATGGCTCGTTCGAAGCCCAATAAGTGTGAGAAGTTTTCGACGAAAATAATTCGGAACTGTCACATTCCCGATCTGCGTTAGAGCCAACGAAACGAAACTTGCGCAATTTGCCCTATTTTCATTTTTGGCGTTTTTCTAAGTCCACACGATGGCGCACAACTTCCGACTAAATGTTCCGATATCGATGGGAGTGTTATTAAAATTTTCTAGAGATCCTGTGCTCTGCGTGGATAATAAAAGCGCCTACCTACGATATTTCGCTTAAAAGTTATAGCTGTTGAAAGCTTTGGCCTAGTGTTATTTTTTAAAATCGAGAATTAAATGTTTAGGAGAACATATCTGGCAAACCATTAGAGATAGCGCAAAAATTCTTGCACCAATGGATGGCCTGCATCGTCGGGAACAGGAAAAACTTAATTTCGAAAGAAAATAAAACATTAAAAATTTTGAAAATTTTGAATTTCTGATCGGGACAAATTTCGACCGCACATGTCCTATAATGTTCGCACTGAGCCGGGGCATCCGTCTGTGAAAGAATTTTTTCGAAAAGTCCTACCGTTCTCCAGCTACGGGCTTCGAAAAGTCAAATTTAAAAATATTGCGATCACGAGCATGGGCGCGTTTGAAAATTCATAGCTCCGCAGCATGACGTCTGATACAGGCCAAACTTGGATCGTTCGAAGCCCAAAAAGGGTGGGAAGTTTTTGACAAAAAGAGTTCGGAACTGTCGCATTCCTGGTCTCCTATAGAGACGACTAAATTCACGCAATTTGCTCTATTTTCATTTTTAGCGTTTTTCTGAGTCCACAAGATGGCTCACAACTTCCGATTGAATGGTCCGATATCGATGGGGGTGTTATTAAAATTTTCTAGAGATCATGTGCTCTGCGTGGATGACAAAAGCGCCTACCTACGACATTTCGTTCAAAAGTTATAGCTGCCGAAAGCTTTGGCCTAGTGTTATTTTTTAAAATCGAGAATTAAATGTTTAGGAGAACATATCTGGCGAACCATTAGAGATAGCGCAAAAATTCTTGCACCAATGGATGGCCTGCATCGTCGGGAACAGGAAAAACTTAATTTCGAAAGAAAATAAAACATTAAAAATTTTGAAAATTTTGAATTTTTGATCGGGACAGATTTCGACCGCACTGTCCTATAATGTTCGCACTGAGCCGGGGCATCCGTCTGCGAAAGAATTTTTCCGAAAAGTCCTACTGCTCTCAAACTACGGGCTTTGAAAAGTCAAATTTGAAAATATTGCGCTCACGAACATAGTCGCGTTTGAAAATTCATAGCTCCGTTGCATGACGTCTCATACATACGAAACATGGCTCGTTCGAAACCCAATAAGTGTGAGAAGTTTTTGACGAAAACAATTCCGAACTATCACATTCCTGGTTTGCGCTAGAGCTGACGAAATTCACACAATTTGCCGTATCTTTATTTTTGGCGTTTTCTTGAGTCCACAGGATGACCCATAACTTTCGATTGAATGGTCCGATGTCGAAGGAGGTGTTATCAAAATTTTGTAGAGACACTGTGCTCTGTGTGGATAATAAAATTTAATGATTTCGTTTAAACGTTATGGCTGTGGAAAGCTTTGGCTTAGTGTTATTTGTTGTTGTTGTTGGCGAAACGTCGAATTATTGGCGACGAAAAAATCTTCGATTAGACCACGGTCATCAAACCCGAATATCAAGTGGTATATGAGGTCTGTTCAAAAAGTACGAATTTTGTGTTTTTTCAAAAATTATTTATTTATTCATGAATATCTATTATGCCCCCTTCAAAGTAATCCCCACCATATATTATACACACGTGCCAAGGTTTTTTCAAATCCTCAAATCCTCAATAGATAATTTTTTGTGATCTTGTTCAGCCCCTCCTTTGATGAGTTTTTATCATCCAAAATCGTAGCGTAGCGTAACTTAGTCCTTTCATGGTCCTCTTCAGTTTCGGGAAAAAGGAAAAGTCATAGGGGGCCAGGTTTGGGGAATACGATGGTTGCGGCACTATTACTGTGTTGTTTTCGGCAAAAAATTCGCGCACAAGCAAAGATGTGTGAGCAGAGGCGTTATCATGATGCAAAAGCCAATTTTGGTTCTTCCACAAATCCGAGTGTTTCTGGCGGATTGCTTCGAGCAAATTGCGCATGCCTTGCAGGTAATATTCCTTATTGACCATTCTACCCTGTGACTTATTGACCATTCTACTCTGTGACAGGAACTCATGATGCACCACACCCCTGCAATCGAAGAAAACTGTAAGCAAAGCCTTCATATTCGATCTAACTTGGCGCGCATTTTTCGGTCTTGGCTCGTACGGCAGCTTCTATTGGGATTATTGAGCTTTGGTTTACACGTTATAACCATAAACCCATGATTGGGTTTTGGTAAAAATCGAAAGGGAGAAGCCAATCGATGTATTTGGGTCCTCAGGAACTTCTCTAACGGTGATTCGACGATTGGTCAATACTATTTTGTTCACTGCGTCAATGTTTTCGTCGGTTGTTAATGTGCTCGGGCGTCCGTTACGCTCTTTGTCGTTCACATCTTCTTGGCCCTCTGAGAACATTTTGTACCATCGATAAACGTTACTTCGGGCCAAGATAGCTTCACCATATGCCACAGTCAACATTCGGAATGCGTCTGCGCACTTAATTTTGTTGTTCACACAAAATTACATACAGATTCTCTGATCCATTTTTTGGAATAAGCAAAAACAGAAGACGAGCCAAAACAAGTGCAAGCGAGGCAGATGTCAAAAATTAACTGAACATTTAACACGACCGAACTTGTCGGTATAAGTGAAGAGACATGAGTACCAACATAACGCCACAAAAATCGTATATACGTAGCCCGCGGAAATACAAAATGCGCGATACTTTTTGAATAGACCTCGTACTGAAAATCATCCTGTCATAACTCGGAGTTAACAAGAACCAGATAAAAACGACGTCGTTTACATGTCTAAAAATTGTTGCTATATCATTTAAAAATGTTTAACACTGAGGTTGCTTATTATTAATTTAGGGACTGTAACTAAACAAGAAACAATGCTGTACACAAACATTTACTTGAAGTAGAGTGGAGATGTAATAAATTTAACTTTTGAAGAACAATTTACTTATCTTATTGTAAATTGTAACATGCAAATATTGAAAAAACAAAACACACCACAGATTTAAATCATATTTAAATTTTATATTTCCGTATTATTAACCACTTATGTTGCAAAGGTGTTAATGGTGCACTGTATTAAAAGGAGTTCCTTGTATTGATGTGAAAAATGAAGGAGTATCTGGATTTTAAAAGAGAAACCAACCCAAGAGCAAACGCAAATTTTCTTAGTGTTATTACATTTTTGTAAGTGTTTCATTTCTTATGTGTTTCATATGAAAAATGTTCGGAAAAGTTGTCAGCTTTTTTAGACACGTTTTCCGCTTGAGTTCGTGAAGTTAGTAACCAAAATGACAAAATTAAGGGCTTTAATTTATAAATGAGTTTTGATATCGCAAAACTGGTCTCCACGAATACCGAAATAATAAAGAGGCTAATATGTTTATCCTGAAGGTTTACTCTATATATTGGTGAAATAATTTTTGAAATCCGATGAGTAGTTTCGAAAACAGAAAAAATTGGTAATCAAATATTACATTTTTATTTTCTTTTGTTGTTATGATTTCAACCTTTTNTTCCAATTAATTCTACGCAGTAGTTTTTGGTTGGTGCCCTTTTAATTCAACAGTTTATGACCACTTGAAAGGCCTGGGATTATCCTCGAAGCTCGATGTATGGGTTCCCCATATTCTCACAGAGAGAAATCTGTATCGCCGCATTGATGTCTGCGATTCGCTTATTAAACGTCACGAAAATGATCCGTTTTTGAAGCGCATCATCACTGGGGACGAAAAATGGGTTATATACAACAACGTCAAACGGAAGAGGTCATGGAGCAAAAAAGATGAACCGGCTCAAACCATTTCCAAAGCCGATATTCACCAAAAAAAGGTGATGCTGTCTGTTTGGTGGGATTTTAAAGGAATCGTTTTTTTTGAGCTTTTACCGGATAACACAACGATTAATTCGGAAGTCTACTGTCATCAGCTGGACAAACTGAATGATGCACTTCAACAGAAAAGGTCAGAACTAATCAACAGGAAAGGTGTAGTGTTTCACCAAGACAACGCGAGACCTCACACAAGTTTGGTCACTCGCCAAAAGCTTTTACAGCTTGAATGGGATACAATGCTACACCCACCATATTCTCCAGACCTGGCACCATCGGATTATTATTTGTTCCGGTCACTCCAAAATTTTTTAGGCGGTAAAACCTTCACCTCAAATGAGGAGGTCAAAAACCTCCTCGATCAGTTTTTTTTTATGAGCGTGGAATTATGCTACTACCAGAAAGATGGCAAAAGGTGTTGGACCAGAACGGTCAATATATAATTTAATAAAGTATTTGTTTATTATACGAAAACTGTTTTTCATTTCCACAAGAAAAAACGAAATGACTTTCCGAACAACCCTATAGTGTTATTCACTTATTCATGAAATAAATTCTACCTGTTAGTAAATATCGAATTAAAACTTATCTGTTTTTTATGATACTAAAATGACCTATGCATCTAAAAACTATTGCATATTCTATTTATTAAAAAAAGGAAGCAGAAGAAACAACATTGGTTCCATCCTAAAATGATTCAGAGATTAGTAAAACGGCAATTTTCTTATTTCAACTTCGGATATAATTTTTTCCGTATCCAAAACACTATGTAACGTTTCTTCTTCCTCTGCAACAAAAGACTCATGATGTGACATATTTGATAACCACTCAAAAGCTTTAAATTGCAGCACAGCATAGAAACAAGGCTGAAGGAGTTTGTCTTAATTCCCTTATATTTTTCAAAAGGTGATGCCTTTGTTCTCAATTTGTCACTAGTACTACTCCTTAATCTATACATCGAAGATGCGATCAACATCATTAAAGACAGTATAACTGGATAAATAGATATATAGGGGCAAAAGATTAGTATCCTTAGATTTGCAGAAGATATAGCAATATTAACATCTAGCAAGGACGAGTTAGAGATAGTTTTAAATAAAATTGAAGCAGTATTGTATGAAAATAAACAAGAGTAAAATAAAAATAGTGGTATGCAAGGGAAGAAAAACTAGGGAAAGAGCGAATGTAAAGATAGGAGACGAAAAATTAGAAGTGGCTGATTTTAAGTAGCTAGGAAGTCAGATAAGTCAGGACGGAAGGAATAGTAGGGATATGAAGCGGCGGATAGCGCAGGGTCGAGTCGCCTTCAATAAAAAGAAGTCACTTCTATGCTCGCGAACGGTTAATTTAGAAATTCGAAAAAGTTTGTTAAAGGTGTATATTTAGAGCGTGGTGCTGTATGGGTGCGAAGTGTGGTGTTACAAGCGAATGATGAGGACACAGTGGATAGAGAAGGTTAGAAATGAAGAAGTATAAGAAAGAATAGGAGAACAGAGGACCCTATGGAAGTCAATAAAAAAATAGGCGAGATAGATAAGTGGCGGAAACGGGAGTTAGAAGGCGTAGAGGTAGACCTAGATTAGGTTACTGTTCGCAAATAGTTAAGAATGTGGGATGTTCTAGTTTCAGGCAAATGCGAAAACTAAAGATAGGAAGGAGTGGCGGTGCGTGTCCAACCAGTCTTAGAACTGACGACCTTATGATGATGACATATGAATGAATTAGCCGCAAATTATGATACTTTAAGATAATCAGAAACAAAATTGTCACAATCGGATAAGTTTCATTCGCCTTTTTTATAATAAGTGGCCCAGAAGTTTCGACGTCTATATATTAATATAAATAACTAGGTTCTACCCGCTGCTCCGCTTGCATTAATGTCCTAAATACCTGCTAAAGATCATCGATCACCATATGAGACTAATTTTTCTATCCTTCGGGAATAGTATTTTTTCTAGATAAAAGGTACCCAGTGCTCTTTTCTATACCTCTAACAATGTTTGTGCAAAATTTCATGCTGATCGGTTGAATAATTAAGGCGTAAAAAAACAAACAAACAAATTGACATTCGCATTTATAATATTAGTTAGGATAATCTATAATATTTTAAAATAGTAGGCATACACATACAAAAGTTATTATTGCAGTCGGTCAGACGTATGAATTTGATAGCAATTCGTATTTTTTTATTACAAATGTATTACAGTAATTATCCAGTTAGGTGTTAGCTTCATGCAGGAAAAATAAAATGTTCAATTCATATAATGCAAATTTAATGTAGGTACCGACATAAAAAGTATTGCAAAAAATAAAAATGCTGTATATTGACAAGGTTCCGTGATATTTTCCATAGTAACTTTTCATGCGGACGTAGTATTTATACTGTTATTTGGATGTTAAGAAGCATTGATGTTTAGTTTTGTAGTTTTTACTGATTTATTTCATAATTTATCTACATATAGGTAAGTAAAAATAGTTAGTAGCATACCTAATGCATTCCTTTTTTTGTTGATTTGACTTGCTGGCTAGGTCAAAATTTTAGACGTAACAAAATTACATAATATTAAAGAACCAACCAATTATACACTGGTAGAGTATCTTTCGTGTAAAATTATAAATAACGGGGTCATTTCGTAAAAGTCTTTGCGGATGGCGAGCGCTTAAGAATGTAATCGTTTATTTCGGAAACGCCTAACGTTGATCGATGTGTTGGGTGAACTGTCCTTTCTCATTTTAGATTATTGGTAACAATTCACAAAATTTCTCTGACACTTTGAAGGTATACCTGAAACTCCTAACTTTTCGAATTTTTCTCATCTTCCAAAAGTGGACATTCATTACCTATATACGCACTAAGGCGCTAAATATCATCAACAGCTGAGGCTTTCAGGGCAATTGATGACCATTGTCTAGTCCAGCGGTCCCCAACTTTTCTTTTCTACGGAACCCTTTCTGAATCACGCTTTTTTGGCGGAACCTCATCCCGATAATAAATACGTAAAACTGATAAGAGTTCTATGTCTAACAATAAGAGGTGATTTATGCTGACTTGCCATATCTTCACATGCTTTTTCAAAAAGCCTTCACTGCAATGCTTCTGTCAATAATGACATTCAACAGCTGAACAGCAACAGTATTCCAGCTAAGGGCTTCGAAAGGTCAAATTTGAAAATATTGCGCTTACGAACATGGCGGCGTTTCAAAACTCATAGCTCCACAGCATGACGTGTCATACATACGAAAGATGGCTCGTTCGAAGCCCAATAAGTGTGAGAAGTTTTCGACGAAAATAATTCGGAACTGTCACATTCCCGATCTGCGTTAGAGCCAACGAAACGAAACTTGCGCAATTTGCCCTATTTTCATTTTTGGCGTTTTTCTAAGTCCACACGATGGCGCACAACTTCCGACTAAATGTTCCGATATCGATGGGAGTGTTATTAAAATTTTCTAGAGATCCTGTGCTCTGCGTGGATAATAAAAGCGCCTACCTACGATATTTCGCTTAAAAGTTATAGCTGTTGAAAGCTTTGGCCTAGTGTTATTTTTTAAAATCGAGAATTAAATGTTTAGGAGAACATATCTGGCAAACCATTAGAGATAGCGCAAAAATTCTTGCACCAATGGATGGCCTGCATCGTCGGGAACAGGAAAAACTTAATTTCGAAAGAAAATAAAACATTAAAAATTTTGAAAATTTTGAATTTTGGATCGGCACAGATTTCGACCGCACATGTCCTATAATGTTCGCACTGAGCCGGGGCATCCGTCTGTGAAAGAATTTTTCCGATAAGTCCTACCGTTCTCCAGCTACGGGCTTCGAAAGGTCAAATTTGAAAATTTTGCGCTCACGAGCATGGGCGCGTTTGAAAATTCATAGCTCCGCAGCATGACGTCTGATACAGACC